GACTTCAGACTAACATGGCTCTCTCTCAAAGGTACAAGTTCACCCTACACACACACACAAACACATACACACACACACACATATATATACATATACACACACACAGACACACATACACACACACACACATATACACACACACAGACACACATATATATATACACACACACAGACACACACATATATATATACACACACACACAGACACACACATATATATATACACACACACATACATACACACACACACACACACTGGGCCCTCAGCCCTCTGGTTCTTTTCCCCCTTCACTGGGGCTCCCCATCTCCACCCCCTCCACTCAGGGCTACTCATCTCTCTCCCCTTCACTTGGGGCTCCACACTGCCCCCTCACTTGGGGCCATGGGGCTTCACTCCCCAGTGGGCTCAGGTGGCCATAGCCATGCCCAGCTCCACTCTCCCTCCTCAGAGTCTCTCGGGATCTTGCACCCCACAGGGCTCAGGTGGCTTCAGCCATGCCTGGCTCCCAACTACCTCTGGTGTTACCTAAACCTCCCTGAGGGTGAGGGCTAGGGTTAAGGCACCCCTACCCACCTTTCACTCAGGTGATTACTGGCCTGGCATTTTCTGGGGGCTCCCACACCACTGAGAGACTCACCAGGCCACCCACTCCCAGCAGGGTGCAGCGTTAGGTCATGCCCAGGACCAGGAGCCTCCGACCATCCCCTACAGCTCCTACCCTTACCTCCAGGTTGTTATGAAGCCTCACAGCCAGGCGATGTTGCTGCCTGGGCTGCCAGCAGTGAGCTGCCCTATTTATATGGGTCGCCAGAGCTCTAAAATGGCCGCCGCAATTAAGCACCTGCTGGCTGCTTGGCCCCCAATCTTAAAGTGGAAGGCACCAACAGTGCCTTGCCACACACCTTCCCCCTTTAAAAGGGTACATGGGGGATGGTTTCCCCTGCTGCTTCTCCAAGCAGGCTCCCCTCAGAGCCTGTGAGAGCCCTAAAGTGGTGAGCACCCCAAAGGTGCTCCACCACACACCTCCCCGCTTAGAATGAGATCTCGGGGGCTTCACTTGGCTGCTTTCCCTGCTGGGCTCTGCCCCAGCCTACTGCAGCCCCTGCCACATGGTGAGCACCCAAAAGGTGCTCCGTCACACTTGTATTCAAAAGGTCTGCATAATCTTCTTAAGTATAGAATAAAACTTCCTAAAGCATTAAATATCTAGTATAAAAAGATTTCTCTGAAACTCTCATCTCAATATCTATGAACCATCCCCAAAATGGTATATCCTATTATTTCTAAAAGCTTTATGCTTCCTATTCCATTTCAGTTAAACTAAGGCCATCTACATGATGGAAAAACCTGAAAACAATACTGAATTTGGGCAGCATATAATCACACAGTGACATTGAGCCTTTGGAAACCAATTAATATTCAGAAATATACAGTTAATTCGCAGATTTGCAGGAATAGTGGGTGCAGTGCCCAGGACAAAATAAGAGATAAGTCTGTGGATAGATAGGAAGGTGGTACATCAGTAGTAAATCCTTACTGCCAATCTGCTTTCTGAAGGGAAATCCCTCTTTATCTCAGACTATTTTCCCAATGAGTTTAGTTTTACTGCACATCTAGTTTCCAATATCTAGAATCTAGTTTCTAGTTTCCAATATCTTCCTCAAGTTAGGAACAACAACAAAAAACCACAGTGTACTCTTACTCAGCTGAAATGTTTCGTTGTGTTTTAAAAAGAAACATGTTCTTTTTCCTTTGTTCCTTAACACATTGTGTGTGTGCGTGTGCGCACTTTTGCTACGAGAGAAAGCAGCAAAAATCTCAGGGCACTCAGGCATATGCCTCGGAGTGCAGTGAAAATAAAGATTAATGGTATAGATATCCCTAAAAATAAAATGTATATCTTTGAGGATTTTAGCAAGATCACAAAACAGACAACCTAACTACAGTGAAAACAAAATCAGCCATGGAGCAGAATAATAGAAATGCTGTATACCAAGCATATTAGTACATTAGTAGAGCGATGTGGGAACATTTTCATAACAGCAATTTACCCTATACCCATTTTATTAGTCCCTCATGTTCATGAGCTCACAGGATTTGATCCAAAGTTTCTTGGAGGTAAACAGAAAGACTCCTAAGACTCTCATTGACTTCTGGTGGCTTTGAGTTAGGCCCCAAATTCACCCCATTACCTTTTCTAAACTAGGATAAAAGGTGGGGGGAGGGGATTAATTGTATTAGGTAACACAATTAGAAAAATTACTTAGCCTCTAGTGTAAACACCAGTTTAACCCCAGACCTATCTGACATGATTTTGAAGGTGTTAAGGAAGAAAGAAATGAGAAAAGTGGTTTTATTATGTGCTTGTGTTATGGATGATTTTTCATAATCCAAAACTTGATTAAAAAAAAAAAGCAATGCACTTATATTATAGTAACAATGCCAAGATAGAGTTTCAGACCATTCATTCATGGGCCATTAATGCACTTTTATGTTTGTTTAGTCATTCAGCCTTTAACTCTACAATGTACCCATGGAATTAGTTAATGGCCCATTAATACGTGCCCTGGAGTGTCCTCATGATTAGCTAATGGGAAATAAGTCTTCAGAATTTCTGCAGCTTCACAAACATAGCTTAACAGAGTAAAAAAAATAAATATAACATTCGTTAAGTGTTTGTATACAACTAGAAAGAAAACTTTCTTTTCAATTTATGGCTTGTTGTCTACACTGTAGTACCAGAGAAAATTCACTAGTATCCCAGCTGTATCCAAAAAGCAGTAAAAATTTGTAGCTAGTCTTGCTTTTCCTTATGTGTGGCAGAATAGCAGGGGCCTGCATATTCCCCTGTGCATGTAAGCACACTCTTGTTTTCTACAGCCCCTTCAAAGCAGAGAATAGCACTCTAACCAAAATACCCATGCATCCTCCACACTATGGATTGGAAGTAGGCCCATTACACCATCAGCAGATCAGCCAGAAAAACTGTCTGAGTTAAGGGCATTATTAGGGGGCCACTTCTGATCTTTTCACACAGAGAGTATGGTTCAGATAGAATGGGTCGGAAATGGATGCTTCCTCCATTTCTTTATATTAAATATTAGAAATGTAGGCATGCTGTTCTGCACATATTTACGTTATTGTGTGTGCACATGCATACACACAAAAATCATCACATACAATATATGTCAACACCTATGCCTATACTGGACTCACCCTTTGAGGATCCATCTATATTGCTTCAGCAGCAATCTCAGGAGCTCTGGTCCTAAGCAAGCACTTCCCACCACTTGATTCTGTTCCACATGCACCAAAGTCAGAAGTGTAAAGCCTTTCTGAACAGCTTCAGCCTTCTGAGCTTGGTGTGTGTAAAGTAGCAAAGTGGCAGTGGGTGCGTAGGGTATGCCTGAGAGCAGTGCTGCAACACTGATATCAGCATACCCTGAGCTTCCCAGATATCCCATCTCATCACTCTTCTCAACTCAGGAGTCTAGTTCCCACCCAGCTTTCCATTACAGTCTAGACAAAGACAGACACCTAAGAAAGAGTTCCTTATTTTTCCTGTTACGGATTACTACAAACACACAGGGTGAATTCCTAGCCCCACTTAAAGCAATGGGGCTAGGGGCAGACATTCAAAAAGCCTGAGCCTAAATTGATTCAATCTTTGCAAGTTAGTCTAACCTGGCTAGGCTGAACTGGTTTAAAACTGGACAGACATTCTCTCTGGGCTCAGGAAATTCAGGCACATGCCTGCAGTGGCTCAGGCTAAAAGCTGGGGGTGCTATAGTAACCCTCCCTTCCCTGGCAGGGGAATGCCATTCTGAGCAGTCAGCAAAACAATGGTCTCTCAACCATTAATTCAAACTTTTTAAACAGCTTACCAGCTACGTGTTGATTAACTGTTCTGCCTGCCTGTCCCAGTGAAATTGGAGAGAGACACAAGCAGAGACACCTCTGGGCATTAGCTAACATACCACATGACTAGGGTCCGTCGGGTCCCTGCTGTGGGAGATGGGAGGGAGGGAGGGAGGGGAGGAGGGGGATTTCCTGTTTGAGCAACAAGGAGCAGGGTAGGGCAGGGGGAAGCCAGGCAGACTCTGCTGTGTCTGCAGTCTCCGCCAGAGCCATATGCAGCTTTAGCTAGCATACCACATGCTGGCTATGGTCCATGCTGTGGCAGAGAGGAGGAAGGTAATTAGAGGGGAAGAAACAACATATTATCATATTTACTGTGTAAATGAACAAAGAAGGTGAAAATCAAAGAGGAGAGAGGGCAAGTAGTGATACCTCTGATTCTTGTAGGGTCCCATGATTCAAGCACACCATGTCTGGACAAGCGATAGGACAACCACAGCCTTCTCGAATTGCCAGCTCCATATACTGTTTTAGACACTAGAAAGGAGGAAAGCAAAAAAATAAGATGGAACAGTTACAACTCACATGACAGTAAACACACAGATGTTACAGCACTGCATTGCACTGCACAGCTACCACCTCCACTTCCTTAATTGGCTGTCCTAGAGCTCTAGCTCTCAGAAAACATCAATTACCATAAGTGTGAATGCTAGGAGTCATTACCTCGGAAAGAATGCGAATGAAGAGCAATTAATTATGCATGACTTCATCCATGGAGTATTGAGTTTATTCAAGTCAGCAACTCAAATCCTTTTTTCCTAAAACATCTTCTCTTTCCTAAGCCTGGACTTGGAAAAGAACAAGCCATATTTCACTATAATTAAAAAGATTTTGTTCTTGTATTTTCTTCTTCATGTATTCTTAATTCAGTCTCTCATCTAGCGGTGACTCTTTTCAGGCCTCATTTGCAAGCAAGGGCATGCCATTGTGAGCAGTCTGCAATGGAGACAGTTCATGGCCTGGGCAAATGAACACTACTCTAGAAGCAATGAAGCTACCAACTTTCCCCTAAAGAGGTTATGTGATTTCCATGATGTACCATCAACCACAGGCCTACTGAGCAAGTGTTTGAAGTTCATTTCTAAGCCAGAGGCCCTCCTGTGTACACCCATGTACCCTCATTATGTAAAAAAAAATCATTATGTGAATTTTTCTAACATTTCATTATAGCAGTTTCAGCCCACTAATTGCATGGGGTCATATTATGACCCAAGGAATGTTGGGAATCAGCTCTGCAGTCTGTTTTATGCCAGGAAAACTCCAAGGAAGAAACTGGTTTAGTATAAAACTGACTTAACAGAACCCTAAATGACATGGGTAAGGAATCAATCTGCAATGTCCCAGGAAAAATATTGACCAATGTTCCAGGCAAAAGCAACAAAGCATACCATATACTGCAAAATATGCTATTTCAACTCTCCCCCAATATAACAATGCATTCTCTTCGTCCAGATTCTTTTATCAGCTTAAACAGCTCACTGAACATGAAAATAAAAATATCTTTGTTCAAATCTCCCAGCACTGAGGATGGAGCACATGATTTCCAAGAAAGTGCCCGAAACAGAGGTTCATACTTATAAACACTTCTGTTTGCACTGTTATAAGTTATAACTAATGGAGGCTTACTGAATGCTATGTACCTGTGAATAATAAAAAACTTATTCGTGAAGATGTCTGCAACTCAGGCTGTTATTATAATGCCTACACATGTTTAAAATTAATCAGAATTAACTGGAGATCAAGAATTTGGTTCCTTCAAATGTAGATTTTTAATGATTTTGGTTGGAGAATTTTAATTTGATTTTTAAAAACATGTCACTTATTTCCTTAAAGAGATATTGGCAGCTTATATTTAAAATTTAAATGTTATTTTAAAAAGGATTATAAAATGCTTCAAAAGAAATAGGTTCAAATTATGAGCCTTAGTACGTAGGCCTGCTAGACTGGAAGGAATCCTTTACACCCCTGCATAATTTAGTTGTGTTGCCACAGATTGGGCAGGTGCTGGGGATGATGAAGAGCAATTACCCCAAAGTAGTTCTTACTCTACCTGGGAAACTGGACAGGAAGCATGTGGAGTTTTGGAGGTACAGAGAGGTGCAGACAGAGTCAATGTGCTGGCCTGCACAGATGAGTTCATGCAAGGTGGAAGTAATCTGTGCCAGCAAAAGGGCCAATGGGGAAAGAAGGGATGGAATTGTTACTCAGATCCTACTCCTGGGTTAAAGTTTGGCCCAGTGTGTTTATTATTTTAAACCTTAATCAACATTTAGATTGAAACATTCCCAGGTCCAAGGGAGCCAGAAGGTACTACTGAGTGGAAACAATAATAAGTGTTATCGGGTTGGCGGGGTACCTCCTGTTCCTCTGGTTCTCACGTGCCACGACTTAGATCTTATGAGGGGAGGAAAGAGATTGATGAGTTGTTAACTGATACCTGCCGAATGATTACTCCCAACCAGTTACATAATTTTTAGTATTTTATTTATTCTTCTCTTATTTTCTTTTATAGAGGACCGGATAGGAGGCAGCAGCTCATCCGAGCTGTCCCCAGGTTCACCTCTGGGCTCAAAAGAGGATCCCTGGCAGTGAACACTCCAAGGTAAGTGCCAGCTAGTGTTTCGCAGGCTAATGGCTGTGCCCATAATCAGCACACCTGGTGGCTTCTGCTCTATGCCAGCTGCCCTTATGGAGGGTGTTCCTGTCTGCCTTTCTCTGTACGGGTCACTCCTGGTGACTCCCTGCTGCCCCAGTCATTGTCCACGCAAAATAATAAGGAAAAGAAAAAAGATCAAAAGGGGCCTTTCTTTGCCCGTGTCTCAGCTTCCCGCTGCCAATTAGCTCATTAGCGGCTTGTTACAGGTGCCGCCCAGTCTCTCTTTCCACACTCTGTGCCAGCGTGATTCAGGGAATCTCCCTTTCGTCAGGGTCACGAAACTTGGACCTGGCTCCCCTCAAGCTCTGGTGTGGTGGACCGCGTCTCTTCCTGGGTCTCGTCTTGCAACCCCTTTTTACTTTAGCACTACCCAGCTGCATCCTAGCACAGAAATGCGGCTCATCCCAGCATGGAGGCTCAGCTTTTCCCAGACTCATCACAACTCCTGTAGGCTCACGGTAAGTAGTGAGTGGGGGTTTGTTGGCCCCGAGCTCCGCGGTCTCTCAGTCTCTACGCTTGACTTGTGTCTCAGATCCCTCCACTGGATCCTCTCTCTCAGGAGTCTCAAGCAGCTCCTCTCCTCTCCATGGTGCCTGAAGGCGTTTTCATTAGGACTTCCCCTTTCTTTCATTCTTGGAGACTGTGCCCTATTGGCTGCCCGAGTGGGGGTGGGGAGTCCTTCCCCAGCTGTCGGGAATTTTCCCCAAGTAACAGGGTTCCTAACAGGGACCCTGTTACAATAAGACTAGTTATTTAATCTTTATAGTCCACGATGAATGAAAGGGTGGGGGGGAGAGAAGGGGGAGAAACAAATGCCACAACTATTCTAATGATTTTAAAATTTAAGGCATTATTAGCACCATAAGGAATATAACTGGACTTAGCCAAACACTGTGCCTTTATTCATTCAAACAATGTATTTAATGCATTTTGGGCACAACACCAGGAAGTTAAATTTAAATCATAAAGTGTGCTACATGGCTCAGCTGTAGTACACATTTTCCCTATGCACAGAAAGGTGGATGGAAAGAGAAAAAGTTGTATGAGCAACTCCAGTAGGGAATTATCTACTCAAAAGGTTAATTCCCCAAAACTGTCCATGAAGTGGGGTGGAGGAAACCATGAAAGAAGCTACTGCAGCACACAGGAGTTTTGTAGCTTTCACATGCACATACTTCCTGTATCCTGCCTCTTTTGTTAGTGATGCCCTGATAAGTTTGTGTGTCCAATTCTTAATGCCCTTTAGGGACTCACCTCATGCCTTTAACATGAAGAATTCAGCTCCCCTTAGATTTGTTTATCAGTTAGCATTGCAAAGAAACCATTTTCTTTCACTGAGAGCCCAGCTTCTGTCCTTTCTAGGATGGGTGATGCCATTAAATGATTTATTTTGTCAGAACAACACAGAGGACTTAAGATTCTGAGGTGAGCTCAGACCATCCTATTGAGGAAAGAGCAAGGGCAGCATTAGGTCAGTACAAACCAAGCAAGTAACCAAGGCCCCCACTGCATTCTGATTATGTTTTGGTATAGTTTTCTAGCATCAGAGAGGTACCTGAAACTGAATCATTGCATGGGACCCCAAAAAGATAAATCCCATCACTGGGAGAGAAGACAAAGCTTGAAAAGTTACTGCATGCTACACAAAAGGGCAAAGGCTGTTTATGAATTTAGACTCCTAGGTTAGTTAAACCCAACAGTAAAAATTACTAACATATGGAATATATCATGCATGAAGCTCATATGGGGCTGAGCAACAAAAGGCATCACATTTGGTTTTTGCATCCAATATCAACCTCTCAGGACACACAGCCAAGTGACTAGATGCTTCAGAGGAACAGTAATGCTTTATGGACTTTGCTGGTTTGCTGTTCAAATCCAGGTGAGGTCAGTGAGGGTTTGCTGCATGCTGGGGACAGAAATTACACATGAATTGGTATAAGTGATCAGAAACTGGTTCAAATCTGTAACACAACAGAAATTCACTGCACACAAACCACTTTTTAAACGGCTGAAACTGGTTTAAGATAAACCTGGAGGGATCTAGCATCAGACATAACTAATTTAGGTTAAATCAGTTTACTGAATCAGAGAGAATCATAGAATCTTATAAAATTAGGGTTGGAAGGGACCTCAGAAAGTCATCTAGTCCAACTGCCTGCTCAAAGCAGAACCAACCTCAACTAGATCATCCCAGCCAACGCTTTGTATACCTGGGTCTTAAAAGCACCAAGGATGAAGATTCCACAACCTCTTTGGCTAATATGTTCCAGTGTTTTACTACCCTCCTAGTGAGAAATTTTTTTCCTAATATCTAACCTAAACTTCCCTTGCTGCAACTTGAGACTGTTGCTCCTTGTCTTGCCATCTGCCACCACTGAGAACAATCTAGCTCCATACTCACTGAAACCACTCTTCACGTAGTTGAACTTCTGTCCCAGATTCCCTCTAGATTCAAATTCACAGTCCCCCAGCATCCCAGGATGCTTTGTACCTCCCCTGAAAACCGTCTTGCAGGGTGAGTGGGCTAGTCTTGGCTCAAGCTGTCTGCTGCAGACAGACAGCAGTCTTCTGGCCTAGGCCACTGCAGGCATATGACTGCATTTCCAGAATCAAAAGTGAATGCCTGTTCACTTACTTATCAGTTCAACCTATGCAGTTTAGACTAACCTGCAAAGATTTAATCAATTCAAGGTTTTTCACAGTCTGTACTTAGCCTACGGGTTGACATTTTACAGACTTTGGACCAGGCTCCTATTGAGCTGAGTGTCTCAAAAAGTGCTTTACTGACACCATCCCTGTTGCACATATTTACTGATTT